GCGGGCCACCCCTTCCTCTCTATCTTCCTCCCACCCTGGATCATCTTCTCTGAGGCACAGCTCTCTACTCAAGGACTGGCTTATGCTGATTAAAACCCATCGCAAAAGTGTCTGCAGGAAAGGAAGGTTTGTGCCTTCCAGGGGAAACTATGATCATGATTAAGTTGAAAACTAAACAATAAAAATCTCAAACATTGCCAAATGAAGACATTTCTTTTGTGTTTATTAAGTGCAAACTGTGGCAGCACTTCTGCAGAAGTAGAAACGCAGCAGCTACAACATAAAGATTTCTTTTTGGATTTCGACTGTTTTTTCTTTCTCCTGTACATTATAACACAATAGAGTCCATCATATTTTAATTTTAAAATGAGAAATATTCAGCACTTTGTCAACTTAGAAACATTTACCAAAACATGGAGAAATCTTTCATGCTCTTCTGTATTTCTGGGTCATGAATCAAAATTATAATTTGTGGCAGTAACTATGTGAACCCCTTTGTAGGAAGCTCAGATTTCCGCGGGTTGTGTCCTTCCATTGAAGCAGCGTTCAGACATTCAGCTGTTTTTGATGGACTCATCTCAGGTATGTTCAGCTAAACTCACCTGCAGCCGTCGTTCATCTGTTAGAAATAAGGTTCCACCTCAAGTTTCCAGCAGAACATTTCTCTCTCAGTTTGAGCTGTTTGAGTTCCACTGGCACCGAAACAGGTCCAGAGCATGATACTGCCACCACCGTGCTTGATGGCAGGTTTGGTGTTCTTGGGCTTAAAGGCGTCTCCTTCTCTCCTCCAAACATGTTTCTGGTCGTTGTGTTTGAAGGTTAAAAATAGTCAAACAGAGGAAAGTCCTGAAGTGTTTCCACCTGTGAGGAGCACAGCAGGTGAAAGCAGTTTTTCCTAATTTATAAGTGGAATATCCAAGGAAATGCGTGAATACGGTGACCTATGGTTCCAAGTCTTGATAAGCGATGAAAGTAACGTAGTAGTTTAGCTTCCAACACAAGCTATCCTCGCTTGTGAGTCACAGCCACGCTGCCTTCTCAAAGAGGATCCTATGAGCTCAGCAACTGTAAATCTAGAAGAGCACTGTATGTATGTGTACACATTTAGAATTGTGACCGTTTGTTTAATGACTGCTTTGTGTGACATAATTTTCTTTTTGTTCTTAGTTGTCCCAAAGATGAAAATACTGGGCAGGTCTCCATCAAAGCCACAAAAACAACAGAATTAGACCACAATCTGTCAATAGTTAATATTAAAAAGGTTAAGAATACATGTTTTTGAGCTGCTTTTAAGTTGCACACTGAGTCAGAAGTTATTTAGTTCAGGTAATTCAGGATGAACACCTGTGCATTCAAGTTGTGAAGAATTTACAAGGCGTGTCTTGTCACAGCAAGACACGACAAGACACTGGTGAAACTAGTTATCCCACTACATGTGTGTGCACAACTACGTAGGTGCGCCTGTGGGAATAGGTAGATCGATACTGCAGGATCGATAAATGGTATGGATTCCTTTAAAAAAAAAAAAAAAATCAATAGCAAAACCATCCAAACGCAGAATGTAGGTCGCTGCATCACGGTGTATTTTGTACAGTTTCACACTTACACTTGAGACTTGTGATAGGTGGAGAAGAGCAGAATGGAAGCGTAGTGTAGTGTGGTGCTGCTTTTTACCTTTAGAAAAATGCAGCAAGAAAGTACCACAAAGCAGCAACTTAAGAAAGCTCTCCAAACATTTAGAAAGACACACCCTGCAGCTAATGAGGAGGCTGAACAAGAACAAGAAGGCACCGATACGTCCAGTGTGAGAATGTCGAAAAATGTACCTGCAAGTAGGACGTGTTCATTACAAAGTGTAGTCATGCTTTTTCATGTAACCTCCAACAAATTAGGACATCTTTATAAGCAGTCAAAATGTAGTAAGTAAAATGCCAAGCTGTACTTGTTTGGATTCCTGAAGAAATCCCAATATATGAAAATTAGCTAAATCTTTTTTTCCCTGTATTTTAATAGAATGCACATGTTGCTCTGAAAAATCTTAAAGATTAAGAAATCTTTAAGAAAATGCAAATGTGCACAAGCTTTGTAGTTGTTTGTATTTTGTTCATATACACGTTCTAAGTATTGTTTCACGATTGTTTATTCATAGTGTTTTCTTAAAATACTCGACTTCTCTTTATTTACTTGTAGTCATATCTGACATTGTAATACATTTGATATAAGTGGCTGGTATGTGTCATGTGATACAAAAGTAAGGATTTTTGCCATTTAAAAATGTTAACTATCTATATCGTTCCAGTATTGGCCCTATAGGGAATTTTGACAAGGTCGATGTTGCCCCTCCCCACTCCAGAGACAGAGGAAGGGGTTTATTCTCCTCAGGTAATACTTCACGTTCTTCCACTTTGGCGGTGTGCCGAGAGCAGGACAGACCGAAGCCGCTTCACAGGTGAGTCAAACCGACGTCATATTACTTTAACTGACAGTTTCTAGTTTTATCAGAAACCAAATTATTTAATCATTCTGGCATTTAAAAACAAACAAACAAACAAAAAAAAAGGTTTTCTGTATGAAACAAAAATTGCCTTTTTTTTTTTTGTTTTTTTTTTTAGCTTGAAAACAATTTCGGTAAAATAAAATTGTAGAATTGTAGAAAAACCAAAAACAAGGAATCTAAAAGGAAATAGTAATACATAAATACAGAAAAGTTATTCTTTATTTCCCGTTTTTCCACTTGGTCGTTCTGCGCATGCGCGGTGTGTAGTTTCGTGTAGTTTGACTTGCTTCCTGCACGTGGCGGGACCGTCCACAGCTAAGCTAGCATAGCTACAGCTACACAATGTTGTGATGATTTCTGAGGCAAGATGCTGGTTGAAATCATGATTATTCTTTGTCAGGTTCATATAATGGTGATGAATAATCCTAGAACTGTAGTTTGTGAACATTTAAAGTTACTAAACAGTGTACTGGTGACAGCTAGCTAAGGCCTCCACGTTCAAACTGTTAGCTAGCGCTCAGGCTAACACAAGAGCTTAATCCTGAGCCAGACTTCAGGAAAACCAGGTTCAATTTAGCTGCTAACAGTTCAACTCCTGTCTCTGAAATATAAATCAGAATATAACAAAAGTCCTTCTTAAATAAGTAAAAGTCTCCTAATGGAGCTCAGAATTCACCCAGAAAAGCTTTAGTGCAAATATTTGTGCAGTATAAACTGTGTGGGACAGCTGGATGTGTCAAGCACATTGTGTATTATCAACTATGAGATTTTGCTTAAATAAAGGAACCTGGTCTATTTTGCTGCTATGGGAAACAGCAGGTGTTCTTTAAAATCAAAGGAAAGAATAATGTTTGTTTATTGAGCACTTTTCAGAACCCGAGTTAAAAAAGTGCTGCACAGAGGAGCAAAATAAAACAGAATAATCACAATTTAAAAGACAGATAAAAACACAACATGGTGTCTAAAAAAAAAACATGAATGTACAGTCTTTGTTGTGTGCTGCTCAACACTCCGATTACTGTCAAAATCTGACACACATTCAGCTGTGGGCAACAAACAGGACTTCTGTAGGTCTGTTAACCCTGTTCAGGACTTTGATGTTGCCGTACGTATGTGCAAAATAATTGCAGGTATTCATTATAGACTTTTATAGTATGTTAAATGAATTTTGTGATAAGCTGACTTTTTTTTTGGTTCCAAATGCATGACAAATGTCCCTCTTTTTATATTTAAAAAAATCAATACAAATAAAAAAAACAATACCTGTCACCTAAACCAAATGGCCTGGGGTCCAAAAGACTGCAACAGTCCTGAATAGGGTCAATATCTCTGCAAAATCCTAAATGGCCTGCAGTGATGCCTGACATTTACACATTTCACATCTGTGTGAGTCACATTGGTATGTGCTTTTTAACAGACGTGTCCCTACGTTCTGCAGTAAATACCTGTTTGTGTGCTTGGACACAAGCCAGGGCTTGATCTACATCACTGGGTCGCCTTGATGACAGTGTGTGATGTTGAAATTACACATTCTTTGTTTTGGGGTTGTGCCTCCCCAAGTTCTCTGAAAATTCCAAGGACCTGCTAGTTTCAATTTTTAAATGAGTTTTTCTCATGACATGAGCCAGAAATCTTCACTCGAGTAGCCCTTACACATACAAAACTTTCCAGTCTTATTCACATCTGAAGGGTCTAACACAAGGGTTTGTTTTTATATTAGTCGCAGCCTCTTCTATTGACCATTTTATTCATAACAACATAGTGAAAATGTTTCTTTAGGCTGTTGACATCATTTTTAAGCTTTTGGTGTGATCAAAAGAGATCAAAAATCCTCTCTGCAAAAACCTTTGACTGTAATACGTCAACAAAGTGAAACACAAAGTTTGCAGCTGAAATTATCCAATGTTCAGATTTTCGTCCTAGAAATTAATGTAAATTGGGGTATTTTTAGATATACAGTCCATCATTTGTGTATTTAACCATACATTTTCATAAAACTTGCAATACAAAACATCCTAATCTCTTGATCTTAGTCCCTTACATTTAAACTGTCGAGACAGAATGGTTCAAATATGTGTTTGGTAAGGAAACAAGTCATGCAGGTGTTCGTATTACATCTCTTGCTTCTTATGTGAGTGTTTGATGTTTGGAACTTGGCCAAAATGAGACAAAATATGTTACTGTACTTGATTCCTGGAAACAGGAGAGAAACCTGAAGGTGGGGAAGCATTTTTTGTCAGAACTGCCAAGATTTGCAAGTTGTCTTTGGCTGAGATGAAAGTTACACGTATAGATGAAGAGTTCATTTGCAAAAACAGATATTTTTGTAGATTTTCAGAAAGCGTGTTTTTGGTTGTTTGCTTGAGATGATATCAATCAAACTGAAGTTGAGTGGATTTGACTCACTAGAAATGACATGACAAAAATTGAGATAACTTAAATTTGTCTCAGGTAGATGATGGAAAAGTGGGTTTTCTGAAGATCTGTGAAGATGGAGTTATCAGTTTTTGTAAACTAACTCTTAATAAAATGGATAAAATGGCCCAAAATATGAAGTGGGTGACACCAAATTACCCTGTCATGTCTGTCGTGAAATATAAGAAGGGAGGCACTTTGTTTGGCGCAAAAGTTGGAGTTGCTAGTTTGTTTCATAAAGACAAATTTAAACCTGAAATATTTAAAGACATGATCCTTTCTGTGCTTATAAGTTTATATATTTAAAAACCAGCAACTCTGATTAACAAAGCCACAAGGGCATCCACTGTGCTCACTCCATTTAATTTCAGTTAAAACAAGATGTTTAAAGAGAGAAACTGACCACTTCGACAATCCTGAATAGAAATCTATGCGAGAATGTCGCAGCAGCAGAAATGGCGGCTGAATGACACGTGTCTCGCCCCTCCTCCAAAAAGCAAACTGCTTGCTCTGTAACAGCAGAACATCCAGCCAATCGTCTTACTCTGCGTATTTCAGACGTCGCTCTCTGACCCCTTTGCTTAGAATTTACACGGGCTTTACACAAACCTGTTGAGCTAGTTGGAAGTCATCCCACTAGCATGAAGTAGTTTCCCTAACAGCAAAGGTGCACGAACATAAAATGAGCAAACAGATAAGAAATTAAATCCTATGAATTTAGTTTGGTGAGACTTGCCTATCACGACTTTGTTTAAATCTGTAATCTGTATATATAAAGTGAACATAACTCCTCCTCATGTTGTTTATAACCAGTAAATCAAAATGCCAAAAGACAAGATCCACATCAACATCGTGGTCATCGGCCATGTCGACTCCGGCAAGTCCACCACCACCGGACACCTGATCTACAAGTGCGGAGGCATCGACAAGAGAACCATCGAGAAGTTTGAGAAGGAGGCCGCCGAGGTGGGTTTAAGTGTTTTTACCAGATTATCACACTGTGTTGGAGGCAGACATGGAGACAGACTGTCAGTATGAGGGAGGAACGGGTGTGGTGGAAGGAACTGCTCACTGATTTTACTGAGTTAAAAGCGCCACCTACTGTTGAAACATGTGTATTGTCCATTCTGCTGCAGCACAACATACAACTGTTAATATTCAGGGTTTCTATCTTACACAGAGGTTTAAATTTAACGTAAGATACTACGTTTTAAGTGTTAAATTGTTTCTGTATAGCCACTGTTTCAAAGGTATTAGTCAATATTAGAAGAAATGGCAACACTGAACTAAAGCAGATTATGACATTTTTTTAAACAAATATCAAAAAAGAACAAAATGACTCAAAACTGCTTAAATTATATATTGATGAATTGAGGTCAACGTATACACTTTTTGTGAAATAGCAGAAAAGTACTCACACTGTAATTTGATGTTTTGTGGTCTAAACTCAGAAAAATGTTCGAACTTTACATCATTATTTTAATTTTAGTAGAGCTATTTATTTGTATTTCCTAAATGAAACTTACTTGGTGATTAAATGTGGTGTCAGTGCTGATAATCAGGCATCAAACAGACAGAAAATGAAAGTGAAACAAAACTCAATTCTGTACAAGACACTGAGGTGGTTTCTTTAAAAGTATGATCTATTTAAAAACTGGGCTTGGTGATAGAGGAAGACGTGATGGGTGGCTCTTGTGTTTCTATGAATTCTGTAGAATAGAATAGAATAGAACTTTATTGATCCCTTTGGTGGAAACCTCAGGGAAATTGCTGCACCAGCAACAACACAACACCAACACAAAATTAGTAATAATAATAATAATAATAATAATAATAATAATAATAATAATAATACGTACACAGACAATCTGATAAAATGTACATAGTTTACATTTTTTGCCCAGTACAAATCAACATGTCACATCCTAATGAACAGTGAATGACAGACATACTCAGAAAATGATTGCAAACAAACACACTGATCATTTTAGCATGCATTTATACTCTCCTGAAGTTTAATTAATGTGCTCCCTGTATTAAATCATCATCAACACTGAGTTGGACAATATCATGCTATGGTTCCATAAATTATACAAGCAGTCAAGTTAAGAGTCTGTTTTGCAGCAAGCTGTCATTGATGGTTTGGTGTGCCTAAAGACGAGTTAAAACATTGTTTGTCTCACACATTAACTAAAGACAGGCAACATTGCTCTATTTCTTACATGGTCATAGATCTGGAGTTGCGTCCAGTAACAACTGTTTGTTGTTGTTTTGCGGCACTCAGAGTTAAGTCGTTGTCGAAACTTTCGAAGCCGACATTTCAATGGAAACAGAACGGCTTAAAGGGCAGATTACTGTGCCATTCCTTTAGGCGTTTATGCCAAATTGAACCTGCTCCTGCAGTGGAAAGGCACCAATTTCTTTTACAAACAATCATCAACAATTTCTGCATGTTGTACCTTCAAACCACGTCCGGTTCAATAGATGGGAAAGGGGTCCTTCAAGTACGCCTGGGTGCTGGACAAACTGAAGGCCGAGCGTGAGCGTGGTATCACCATCGATATCGCTCTGTGGAAGTTCGAGACCGGCAAGTACTACGTGACCATCATTGATGCCCCCGGACACAGGGACTTCATCAAGAACATGATCACTGGAACCTCTCAGGTAATTATCAGTACACTGCTGGTCAGATGACTTTTGCATGTAGTTCTCTCTGGTGTATTTGCATTGAAACTACATGTCTGATTTTGTTTTCAGGCTGACTGCGCTGTGCTGATTGTCGCTGCTGGTGTTGGTGAGTTCGAGGCTGGTATCTCCAAGAACGGTCAGACCCGTGAGCACGCCCTGCTGGCCTTCACCCTCGGTGTGAAGCAGCTCATTGTTGGAGTCAACAAGATGGACAACACTGAGCCCCCTTACTGCCAGGACCGTTTTGAGGAGATTAAAAAGGAAGTGAGCGCCTACATCAAGAAGATCGGCTACAACCCCGCCTCCGTTGCCTTCGTCCCCATCTCTGGATGGCATGGAGACAACATGCTGGAGGCCAGTGACAAGGTGAACGTGTTTTACCAACGCAGTGCTCAACTTCAAGCTAATGCTAAACTTGATGCTAAGGTGATAATGCAAATCAATAACTGACTTGTAATTTTGACTCTGTTCCTCAGATGAGCTGGTTCAAGGGCTGGAAGATTGAGCGCAAGGAGGGCAATGCCAGTGGCACCACACTGCTGGAGGCTCTGGATGCCATCATGCCCCCATCCCGCCCCACCGACAAGCCCCTGCGTCTGCCCCTGCAGGACGTCTACAAAATCGCCGGTAAGTGGAGTCACATTGTGTCCTGTAAACCCAGTAAGTCATCATCATTTAGGACTTTTTGGGTCTTTTGGACCCCAGGCCATTTGGTTTAGGTGACAGGTATTTTTTTATTTTTTAAGATTTTTTTTAATATAAAAAGAGAGACATTTGTCATGCATTTGGAACCAAAAATACATCAATTTATCACAAAATTAATTTAACATGGTATAAAAGTCTACAATGAATACCAGCAAATATTTTGCACATATTCCTTCTTAGGGTCCAATGGACCCTGAAAGACATATGGCAACATGAAAGTCCTGCATGGCCCTTGTCTTCTACCTACCATCTTTTTTTTCCCTTTTTTTGTTGTTGTTGTTTTAACACTCTCGTGTCTGGTAAAGCAGTAAACCACAGAGTGCACCACAAATGTTTTGCCTCCTGCTCTCTCAGGTATTGGAACTGTCCCCGTCGGTCGTGTTGAGACCGGTGTTCTGAAGCCCGGTATGGTCGTCACCTTCGCTCCCCCCAACCTGACCACTGAGGTCAAGTCTGTGGAGATGCACCACGAGTCTCTGCCCGAGGCCGTCCCCGGTGACAACGTTGGCTTCAACGTCAAGAACGTGTCCATCAAGGAAATCCGTCGTGGAAACGTGGCTGGCGACAGCAAGAACGACCCACCCAAGGCTGCTGCAGATTTCAACGCCCAGGTTGGTGTTGTGAACTTGAAAGTAGAGCATCCACTTGTGGGTCGAGTCACATTTGGTAAATTTCTGACTTTGAATGTGTTCACAGGTCATCGTCCTGAACCACCCTGGCCAGATCAACGAGGGTTACGCCCCCGTTCTGGACTGCCACACCGCTCACATTGCCTGCAAGTTCAAGGAGCTGATCGAGAAGGTCGACCGTCGTTCTGGCAAGAAGGTTGAGGACAGCCCCAAGTTTGTCAAGTCTGGAGATGCCGCCATTGTCAAACTCATCCCACAGAAGCCCATGGTTGTGGAGCCCTTCTCCAACTACGCTCCCCTTGGTAGGTTTTGTACCCAAGAGGCCCAACGCACACTTCAGAAATGCTAATAGTGGTGCAGCAGAATATCTAGTGTATATGTAGTAACTAACATTTGATCACCCTTCTTCTATTCCAGGTCGTTTTGCTGTGCGTGACATGAGGCAGACGGTGGCTGTCGGTGTCATCAAGGCTGTCGATACCAAGGAAATTTCTGGAAAGACAACCAAGGCTGCAGAGAAGGCCCAGAAGAAGAAATGAATGGACGTGCAGGACATCCAGCAACAAGATGTGTCCCGGCAGCAGCGGGCCACCCCTTCCTCTCTATCTTCCTCCCACCCTGGATCATCTTCTCTGAGGCACAGCTCTCTACTCAAGGACTGGCTTATGCTGATTAAAATAATACACTGTATATGAAAGGTGGACATAGCCCTCAAGTCACTTAAACCTGCAATCTTTCTTACTGCCAGCAGGGGGCAACTCCTCTGGTTACAAAAAGAAGCCTGATTGCACCAAAGTCTATGAGAAAGCAGCCCTATTTCTCACTTACATCATTACAGCACTAAACATTTTCCTAACAAGTTTATGGTCTCAATCTCTAGTTTCAAATCTCTTTCAATACAACATTTTGTGAATTGTATAAATTATTGTTCCATTTAGGGTAGAATAGACAATAGAGCAGGGTATGCTTTCAGGAGTGCCAACCTCATAGGGCAGTGTCCTCGAGTTCTCAGTCAAATTCATCGTGCGCTTGTTACATTTGTTTTTAAAACAAAAAATACAAAGGTGACAACAGGCTTCAGAACAGTGGTACACAAACTATTGGGTCATGACACAGTGGCTGCGTTCATCTTTTATGTACAGTGTGTCTGTGGCTAAAAGCTATCATAAATGTTTCGCTGGAAGAAGTTTAGCATTGTCATTAACTTGAATCATTAGATGGTGCCTCTTGAAATGGTTTAGAACTGTGTGTTGATGTGAAAATCACACAAATTTAAATGGATAGAGAACTGCTGGTAACTAATGAAATAAATGCCTCTTTAAAAAAAACCTAACTGGCTCATCTTAATGCCTTCTTTTTGCAGTTGGGGCAGCTTTTGGCAAGCCTCTGTTGTGGAAATTTCTGTAATTAAGTGAATTCTCAAGAAGAAAAATCTGCTAGAGTTGGTTTTAGCAGCTGATCATATCCTCCACAAGGCTAGCAGCAAGCATAAAATTTCACTCCATCTGAGAGGTAAGTTTGTCTCTTATACCCCTCGCAGCAGGGAAAAAGGTCAGTCTCTTTGGGTTCTTGATCAAGCTTTGTTCACTAACAAGACAAACTGGCAGTTCGCATCTGAAGGAGCCACTTGATGTGGTTCGGAAATCGGATGCCTCCTGGAAGACTTCCTTTATAGGTTTTCTGAGCCTGTTCGCCTGGGGGGGGTTGACTCAGACCCGCTGGAGGGATTATATATCTCATGTTGCCTGGGAATGCCTTGGGATCTCCCTGGAAGAACTGGAAAGCACAGGGACATGGAATGACCTGCTTCACCTGCTGCCTCCACGACCCAACCTCTGAAGAAAATGGATGGATGGATGGATAATATATGCTAAAACTGTAAAATAAAACAGTTACAATTGCAGAACTTCTAGGTTGAACATATTGAAGATGTTTGATCATAATAAATTAAGCTAAATCTGTAAAATCGAACTATTTTACTGCAGAAAGTTTAGTTGCAGCAATGTATTGTTTGATTGTTACAGATCAGGAAAAAATCTGAAAAAAAACGTAATGCAAACAAAAATTTATTAATTTTACACTTGATTTGAATTGCACTATTTCCTCACAGCTAAAGGGTCCTGGGTTAAAATCTCGGCCTGGGATCTTTCTGCGTGCAGCATGGGTTCTCTCTGGGTTCTTCGGCTTCCTCCCACAAGAACCAGAAACATGTTGAGGTTAATTGGTGGCTCTAAATTGTCTGTAGGTGTGAATGTGAGTGTGCTTGGTTGTTTGTTTCTCTGTGTGACTCTGTGATAGACTGGTGACCACTTTAAGCTCAGTCAAAGCTTGGAGATCCATTGCATCACAGAGGGTCGTGTCCACTTTACATCTCCTCTTACTCCTATTTTAGTCCAGACTTCTTGCCAGGCTGCCTAGCCTGAGGATTCAGAACTGACAAAACTGGGAGACTTGTTTGCTGGCCAGACTTTGCTCTCCTTTCAGCAGTTACAGCAGCGATATGATCTACACAAGAGTGAGTTGTTCAGATATCTACAAATCAGACACTTTGTTGTAAAAGACACAATTCTGATAACTAACAGTGCAGCCTCATCTGTGGAAAGTGCCCTGTCTTCTCAGATGTCTGGGAAATGTATGAGTATTTTCTATAAAGCACTTATTTCCAATCTACCTCTAACCTCCCGGGCCACCAAAGAAGCTTGGGAGAGAGACCTGAGCATCTCTGTGGACAACCCAGCCTGGCGGGAGGTGTGGGCACATGCTATGGATATATCTGTTTGTAACCGAGCCAAATCTACTCAGTTTAGGATTGTGCATATTACACCTGTTCTCAAAAACAAACTGGACTCTCACTTCTCCCCACTGTGTTGGAAATGTAACACTGAGACTGGTGATTATGTGCACCGTTTCCGGTCATGTGTTAAGCTACAGCAGTATTGGCTTGACATTGTAAATGATCTATCCATTGTCTTCCTTGTCTACTGATGGATCCTGTGTGCCTCATACTTGGTCTCCCCGATGTTCATATTATTAATAGCAAGCATAAAAGACTGTTCAAACTACTGACCTTTGCTGCAAGAAAGAACATTCTGCTCACAATCTCATAATGGACTGTATCCCCAATGAATATATTACTTGCATGCTTCACTCAACAGTGGATGCTTTCCATGAAGTCTGGGAGCCATACTTAAAATATATCGCACCTACACTGTCCTCTCCCATATTACTAGGATTTCCTAAACGGTCCTAACCTACCTATGTATGCACCAGTCTAATGTATAAGTTGTCATTGTCTTGCCATACCTGAACTGTTTTTGTTTTGTTATTTTTGCTGTGTTTATGTTGTCTGTTTTTCAAAAAATGTTAATAAATATACTATTACAAAAAAAAAGACGATTATAAAGGTCCTAACACTTGAATGTGTTAGAATAATTCTGTTATGATCCAATGATCTTTGTGAAAAGTATGAGAATGCTGTAAATGCACATTGCCTGTGTTTCACCTTGTGAGTGTGAGATAAGGACACAATGTCCTTAGCGGGTCGTCAAAACACCGACACACACACACACACACACACACACACACATTTGCTGGAGGTTGTCTTCTGTTTTCTGTATATAAGAACCAATGCTTTATGCTTTTAGTCACTTGTTCAGACTCTGTGTCATGACTCGTACCAGGTGTTAAGTTTTATTTAGTTTTTTGTCTTGTATTTGTGTTGTCTCGTGGCTTTTATTTTGAAACCTCTTTGCCCTCGTGTTTCAGGACGCTTGCCCTCTCCCCGGTGTTTCCTGTGTCTGATTGTCTACCCAGCCCTGATTGTCTCCACCTGTTCCTCATTACCTTGTGTGTGTATATATAGTCTGTCCTGTGCCAGTTCGTCTTGTCATTGAGTCAAGCTTCACGTTCTAGCCCTCTTCATGTCCAGGATGTCCCCGTTCATGTCTCTTGTGGAAACTACCTTCAGGTTTTGTATTTTGTTTGCTACTTTGTATTCAGCCTCTTTCCTAATCAAGTGTTTGAGTTGTTACTTTGTTTAGACAGATTGTTAAGTTTTCCTCATTGAGTGATTTTTAGTTTGTATTTCCTCAATCGAGTGATTTTTTTGGTTCTTTATTCTCCTCGTTAGAGTGACGCTTTGAGTTTAGGTTTTTTTTATTGTTGAATGATATTTCTGTTGATACTTTTGTAAATAAATCTGTTTGAGAACATTTTTGAGTTTTTGGAGTCGTGCATTTGGGTTTGCTTTTTTGTGGTCTTGTCACTCTGTGCTGTACATGTTGCTCCTTGCTGCAAGTAAAACTTTGCTTTGACTTAAGAGACGACTCTGTGTATTGATTTGAAGCAGTCAGGACTCCACTGAAGAATTTTCCTGACAGAATGCCACATGTTTAAGAGACCTTGTAGAAGCTAATAATGTAATAACAGCCAATAACGTAACAACGGCCTATAACGTAATAAATTTCCACTTTTTAAAATGTAATAGGCCAATAATGTAATAGAAGTCCTGAACCGATAAAGTAACTTCTTTTGGCTAATAATGTAATAAGTTATTGGCCTGGAAAGAAAATTCTTTGCAAATGTAATAACCAAAAGTTATGACAATATCGGTTCAGGACTTTTATTATGTTATTGGCCTATTGGCAAATTTATTAAGTTATTAGCCAGTTATTACGTTATTGGCTTCTACAGACCTTTATGTGGCTTTCTTCCACACTTTAATTATGATCTCATGAATCACAAGTTATTGAGTTCCGGTTGTTCAGGGTGAGCTACAAACTGTGAAGAAATAACAAGGCGTGTCCTTTTATAACAAGACACAAGTGGTGACACTAATTATTCAGTACAGGTGTTTCCTCACGTAAGCAAACTTGGCACCATTTTATTTATCCCAGATGTTTGTTCAATGGATCCACAGACAGGAGGGAGAGGCAGAGGGAGGATTTATTCCTTGGATGTTTCATGAAAACTGAAACTGAAAGCAAACGCAGTGTGAGAAGCCGGCACAGACTGAAGCAGACAGGACTCAGCGCCTCCATTCTCAGGTGAGTCAAACCGCTCTTATGTTGTTTTATTTGACAAATGAAAGTGAATTTTAACCCGAGAAACCTTCAAACACACACTGAGATCTGAATCACAGAGGGTTTTCTTTCATATTGACTGCAGTGGCTTCTTCAGTAATGGTTTCTGCTCTCCTGTACTGGTTCATGCTGGAGACTGAACTGGTTTCTGCTGATTGGTAGTTTACTAACAAACCTCTTGATGTACACAGATGACTTGCTGATTTTCTCTTTCCATGGTTCTGTTTTATTGTATACAGTTTGATCACATGTGTAGTGAGAGCAATATTAGGACTAGTTGAGATTTTTTTTTTAAAAAGACAGAAAATTGCCTTTTTCTGATCTCTACCTGTCTGGTGTTGTCCTAAAGGGGAGTAATGAGGTTAGATATTTAATTCATCACGACGTTTAGCAAGTCTTACACCCATGCTTTGAAAAACTGTCCCTTTAAATCTCTCTACACGCCCATTTTTCCTCCAACCAGCCTGTGGAGACTCACAGAGGCTGCTATTTAAATCAGGAAATTTGTGTGTAAATTACATTTAAAAACAAAACATCAGCGCTCCACTTGTGTCTTTCTGAAAAATGTCCAATCATAAAGGAAGGCCTTTATTTCTGACTGCACTTGTACTTTACTGATCTGTGTGTCCTTAATTAGCCGTGTCTTTAATAAGCTCACAACCAGATGGAGTAAGAGTTGGTGGATGCAAACGCAGAAGGCAGCAGAAAACCTCAAAATCAAACCTCTGAAGCAGATTATAGTGTATTAAAATGGAGTTCTGCTGCTGGAAACCATAATTAAATCACTTTATAATGTAAATTCAGTGTGTCCCAAGTGCTGCAACAGTGTTATGTTGGAAATA